GGGATGGTTATGGTTCTTTAGGTAGAGTGAAGGAAAGTTGGTGTGGGATCTAAGATGGGGCTTGGAACCAATGACAATAGCCTGGGTTTTAGCAGCATTTATCCTTAATCCGTTAAAGTTTGCCCAGGCACTTATTCTATCTAAATCTTTTTGAGTTTTGTCAAATACTACCAATAACTCATTGGGAGAAAAGGATAGATAGATTTGAGGAACGTCGGCATAAATGTGGTTGGAGCAATGGAGGATTGAATCATTTAAGTCATTAATATAGATACTGAAAAGCAGACGAGAAATGCTTGAACCCGGAGCAACTCCAGAGAATAAAGGAAGATAGGCAGATAGTGTGGTTGATTGGGTATGGAAACAGCTTGGGTTCGTTGTGAGAGGAAAGGCTGGAACTAAGAGATGGAATTATTGGAGAAGGATAATGATGTTAGTTTGTTGAAGAGGATGGAATGGATAATGAAGTCGAAGGCTTTGGAGAAATCAAGAAGTATAAGTATGGTTAGTTTTTGTCATATATTGAAGCCTGAATACCACTGGTAATTTTAATCAGAGCAGATTGTGTAGAGTAGCCAGGACGCATGCCAGATTGAAAAGAATCGAATAGGTTAGATTTTTCAAGGAAGTTGGAAATTTTGGATTGCACTAACCTTTCTAGGGGTTTTGAAAGATTGGAAAGGATTGATATTGGGCGGAAATCTTTGGGACAGGATGGATTAGGCTTTTTGTTTAATGGATGGACAATTTATAATTGTTTTGTAGGTTTCAAGGTCTGATATCATATAGTATCAATTACATGAAATCAATGCCAATCTAAAATTCATATCAATATATCACGAAATTCCCGACTCATGGATATCGCATACAATTTTTTTGCTAATGACTTTTTTGAAACATCAAAACAAAAAAACTTTTAATAATAATTTGAAATACCAAAAATGTTATAAAAACGAATTAAACTTAAAATGGTATCATGTGCTACGAATAATATCACTTTCATGATTTAGAGCAATTTTTGCTTAGTGACAAAATACAATAAATATAATCTCATAAATATCTCCGTAAAAATGTATAGGATCATTTTTGTAGAGATTTTCGAGCATTGTACTGAACAATCTTTGAGAATAACCTCATAGTTTTTAGATATCATAAAAAATATCCGCAAATATATGCGGTCCCCTTTATAGTCGCTCTTATCTTCTGTGTTCTATTGAAATGCTTGTGGTTTTTTTTCGTCGCTAGTATCGTACCTCAACTATGTTGTTATTCATACCAGTACTAAGGCCACATAACTTATCTACTAAAATATTTAGGCAGATAGAGAAATTGGCGTCATATTTAAAATTGGTGTATTAGTCGGATGCCTTTCACAATACATATGAAGCAAAGGTCTTGAACTAGATATAGAAGTACATATCTCTTAGAACAGATAAGATTTTATTAAAATTTTGATCAATAATGATATTTGTGTGTCCTTAATTATAGGTATGAATAAATACAAAAATAAATCATTTTTGTTATTTTATGATCTTACTTCTGTTTAAATAATAATACTTACCGATTTTTCTCACACGGACAATAATTATAGTGAGATATCAACACATTCACATAACATATACAAAAACATAAAACATAAATATAAAATCAACAAAGAGTAAACATCAGAAACTATATACTATAAAATATAAAATAACTTCAAGATAAGTAAATATTAAAAACATTGGAACACTCTCATTTAAAAAAAAATAATCACTTTTTTTTGGTTTTTGTTAAAAAGTTAGGATTTGTCAGTTACACGGTTTCGCATTGAGGATAACGAAGTAAAGGTCCATAAAAAAAGAGTCTCGATTTGAAATGGTTATAATTGTCAAAATAAAATGTAGTTGATGGAAATTGGAAGAAAAAAACTTCCGTTTCTCGGACGATTTGTAACTTTTAAGATAATTGATTTTATTCAAGTGAAGCAAAAATGGAATATCCACCAGCGGAATTATGAACAGTTTCCGTGGAAAACTGAAGTGGTAGTTTTCACCAGGTGGACTATTTTACTGCTAAAAATAACTTTCCCATTTCTGCCTCTTTCAGGTCTCATATTTCCGAGAGCTAATCTCTGAATGAGTTTCAACTTTAATACTCTTCTTAGCCACCCAATAAAGCTGGAATTTTACCTGCTTTACTTTGATTACCAGCTGGTTGTTAATAAACTTTTAGAACTTTCGAAGTTGAAACATAATGATAGCATAATCATTTATTAGATAGAAAAAAAAATATATTTCCTCCTTTTGAAACTTTTCAGTGTTTGGTTAGTTGATGAGTATGCTGTGTATCGAGCAACTCTATACATTAGGATAGGACTTCTAAAGTATTTCTCTCTCTACTTAACTAATTGTCAACAAAACTATGTAAGGTACTAATGATTCGGACGGGATTCAGAAAACCACATCAGTCATCGGACCATATAAATTTTAAAATCCTGGTTTTATACTCCAGCTAAAAAAATAATAGTTGTAAATGTTTTATATTCAAAAAGGCTTACGATTCTATTGACCGCCAGAAACTGTATAATATTCTAATCGAGTAGGGGATTAAAAAAACACTAGTAAATATAGTCAAAGGATGTGCTTGACGGAAACACTCAATAAAATTAGAATCGGTAATAATCTGTCCGAAAAAATTGAGGTTCGTTTGGGTTTAAAACAGGAGGATTGCCTTTCGCCTGTCCCGTTCAATTTGGCATTAGAACATGCCAATAGGCAGGTAATGCGTACCGAAAAAGGGTTGGATCTGGGTGGGACAACATCCGTGACATCAAGGCTATGCTGATGATCTGGTACTGTTAAGCGAAGACGTGGAAACTATAAAACTAAATACGACAACGTTAATGAAAGCCGGTAAAGAACTAGGGCTCGAAATAAACGCGGATAAAACAAAATATATGGTTAGCTGCAAAAATGGCGATACTACTGGTGATATCGATATAGATGGTAATATGTTTGAACAGGTAGAGAAATTTAGGTATCTAGGTTCTACGATAACTAGAAAAAACGAAATTGAAGAAGAGATTGAGGTTAGACTGAAGGCGGGAAAAGCTTGTTATTTTTCTGTGACAAAACTACTTAGCTCGCACCTCTTGTCCCGGAACTTAAAAACTAGAATCTATAAAACAATTATCTTACCTACAGTTCTTTATGGATGTGAAACATGGCCGCTTACATTAGCGGATAAGCAGCGTCTTAAGGTTTTTAAAAATAAAGTATTGCGTAGATTATTCGGACCGAAGAAGGATGAGTTAACCGGTGAGTTCAGACGGTTACACAACGCGAATTGCGTGAACTGTAATGGGATAATATAATCGCGGTAATTTCATCGCGGCGAATCAAATTGGCTTGTAAAATTGTTAATATTTGCTGTGCCGAATGGTAAGCATCTGAAGGGTAGACATAAGCGAATGTGAGAAGATTGCATTATAGCCAATCTGAAGGGACTGGTTTTGGGTCGCGAACGGTGGAGAGGGGTGTGTAATAAGCGATTGGTGGTGTCGGCATCGAACCATCAGGTTCGCTAAGCCTTTTATTATTATTACTAAATATTTTATATTAAAGATTTATAATATAATGCATTAATATATAAATATACAGTATATAATAATATATTAAGTAAGAAATTATTTCAATATTAATAAAGTAATTTATCACGTGTTGAATAAAATAGTTATTAGAAATAATAATTCACTTCTACGAAATTTCCGCCTGACAATCAAATGATTCGACCCATGACAAGAGAAGATGTCAAGATTATACTAACCTGTTTCTAAACCGCGTCAATACGTCTCTGTCAATGCCAGGCTGGGGATCCATCTTGTTCTTGGATGTTGGAGGACTAATCCTCATCGGTTTTCTTTCCAAGGATTCGGTTGGTTGAATTGTTTTTAAGAAATTGACGTAATTATCAAAAGCTTTTTTTTATTTTTTTTTTATGAAATTGAAATGAAAGTATCTGATGTTTAATTACGCAATGGTCTCTTATATAAGTTCCGTATCCGATGTACATTTAGAAACACATGAGGGTCAAATAAAGAAATCAGAACCTGTGTCAATAACTTTACAGTATTTAGTATGTCTACATCGTATAAATTATTCGATTTTGGTTTATCGCACAATAAAAACAATTAATAAAGATGTAAAATATAAAATAATAAGAAGGCTAAGGATACCCAAGAAATGGTGCTAATATCCTGCATATTTGCTTCTATTGAATCCACTTCAAACCCAAAAGTCTCTGATCTCATAATTCGCCATGATTTGGTCAACCAATCGGACAAATTGCTTCGCAGGCAACGAAGCCCGATAGAAGATATCGAAGTATGAATGATATATATATAGCATTCCTACTTCCCGGACCTATTACTTATTACTGTTGCTTTATATCTACAAGATACTTGCAAGCTTCCCAATTTATGATTGTGTAGCTTCCTAAATGTGCCATAGGCTACATCCTCCTTGGGGCCAGCTTAAGATGCTTGAGGAGCTTAAAAGTTTTTTATTTGTTACTTACTTTACTTAGTCATCAACCACTTGATTTTATTAGTTTCTTAAACCTCAGTGATGTGCTCCCGTAATTCAAAAATATTTTTACCCCTTCTTTAGAATGTGTCCTTATTTAATCAATTAATCTCTTAAATATATATTAATAAAAACTTATTTTAATTATTATAAAAAATAATGGAAATGTTAACCACTTGCGTTTCAATATTTTATAACAGTATTTCAGTATTTTGCAATACAATTCCTGGATGCTCTTAAAAAATTAAATAGTTTAAATTAAATTTAAATTAAATAGTTTAAATTTACACCATACAACGTGTCAATCGTGTCAGAATTTAATAAATAGACGAGGAAATAAATATATTTTTATTTATTTATATTTTCATGTGAACTGAAATCCATTGAACCATCTTCAACAGAAATTATATCATATGCATACAAAATAATAGTTACCGAAAACTATGACGAAGGTCATCTTGACTGTCTTGACTTTGGCTTTGGGTATGAGGCCTCTGGAACTTGCGCGTCTAGATTCATGATCATGTTCGAGTCTCACCTTGTCAGTGGAAATACCTGAAATAGAATACATAGTTTAATGATATTTTATTTAATAAAATATTTCATAATTTTTGTTTGTAATTAGAATATAACTAAATTCCAAACAAATATTTCAATAAATTTAATAAAACACTTTACACCGCCCCAACATTTTATGATCAGGCGTAATTTGCTTTTCTGTTTGCGGCGGGCTGACAATCTAGTTAGTTACTGAATAGGCAGTTAAATAGGATGGGATCTACTACGGTGAGCCACAATAAGATATTGCAGATCATAATAGTATTAACTATACTTAATAATTCAGAGTGCCTTTAGGATATATAGATTCAAGGTAGATCTTACGGTTTATATGAAAGGCAAAGAAGTTTGTTGCACGTTATTCTGTTCTTTTTATATCCATTGATTTACGTAGTTACTAGATAATTTTCTTGATGGAATATGTCCCAATAAATTTGAATAGGGCTGGCAAAAACAGGACTGTGTCCATAAATACTTTAAATTCATCTCGAACCAATCAATTTAATTATTCAATATTCTAATTCTGTCCCAATATTTGAACTTAATACCAAATAACCTTCAACACGTATAGAAATCTCCAGCTTTAATCTCTTCCGCCAGACACCTAGTTGTCGTATAGAGCCAACATAAAAAAGATAAGATCAGTTAGTCAGTTAAAAATGTCGAATCCACAATTAATTAATCTTTTAAAAAAAAAACGTTTTTTTTTTTTCTCTAAAGAAAAGACTTTTAAATATTTAAACTTGAAAAAAATTCTAAGAGTAAAAAAGACTCCCCGAATTTAGGAAGGAAATCTAGCCTCAGGCAACCTCGTTGTTCACTTATCTTTAACGTAATTATTTTAAAATACAATAAAAATAAGTAAATCCAATACATTTTGAGGTAATCTTTTTTTTATCTATATCTGCTAATAATAGTCTGATTTCTCTTTATTTTTTTCTTTTGTAGAGAATTCAATATGCCTTAGATGTGACAGCAAATTTTTCGTTAAAATCGACTAACCGGAAATGACATTTTATATCAACGATAATACACATTTCTACAATTATCTCTAAAACCGCTCCAACAATTTTGATTTTCCTCGGTGTATTATTGTATAATTACATGATCTTAATTATCATTGAGGTCTTATTCCTATTGATGTAACTCAACAGGACTTAAATGCCCTGTAAATGTTTAAATTGTCTTCGGCTAAAGTACTTTAAATTTGGTTTATTTTAAGTAATTAACTATCTCTCATTAAGGGATGAGCAGCGTCTTAAGGTTTTTGAAAATAAAGTATTGCGTAGAATATTCGGACCGAAGAAGGATGAGTTAACCGGAGAGTTCAGACGGTTACACAACGCCGAATTGCGTGAGCTGTATCCGGGTAATATAATTGAGGTAATTTCATCGCGGCGAATCAAATGGGCTTGTAAAGTTGTTGGGCTTAGTAACGAGAGAATTCCTAAAAGGTTAATATTTGCTGTGCCGAATGGTAAGCGTCCGAGGGGTAGACCGAAGCGAAGGTGGGAAGATTGCATTAAAGCCGATCTGAAGGGACTGGGTTTGGACGGCGAACGGTGGAGGGAGGTGTGTAACAAGCGATTGGTGGTGTCGGCATCGAACCTTCGGGTTCGCTAAGCCTTATTATTATTATTATTAACTATCTCTCATTATTAAGAGTATTTCGAAAAATTCTAAATATAACTTTTGAAAGAATTTAATAATTCTAAAATGGAGAAAAAAGAGAAAATGCTCTCTAATATAGAAAGTAATGGAGAGTGGCAAACAATTATAATTAATAATTTGTGAAAAATAATATTATTTAAAAGAAATCGCATGTTTTCAAGGAAATTAAATGAAATTTATCGATTGTTTTTTTTTTCATGCTCATTTTTTAACTCACACCTGTCAGAAGTTCCGACAATCAGCGAGTGTGGTGTCGAGATGTAGAAGATTTATAGGTCTTTGAAAAGGCGTGAGGAAGAGGAGTAACCAGCGGCATCCTTCCTGTCTTGAACATAATATTTATAGTTAGTAGAGGAGATCCCTCATCCAGCTTCTTTTAAGCCTCCTTCGGAAGCTATCGGGCATGTTAGTTGTGGTCATGCCTCGAATCAATGAGTTGGTATGTCCGTGTAAGTCATTATGGAATCTTTTGTAGTATGTTCGTATTTGGTCCTTAACTGTTAGCATCTATCTGTAGGTCTTTATGTAAAGTAATGTTACTGACGTACCAAGGAGTCTTGGTCCTGATAGTCCTGAAGGTTTTAGATTGGAAATTCTGTAGTTTACGTTTGTGTTTTATTGGCTGTCCCGTATATCTGTGAAGAGTAGGTCCAAATGGACTTAAGTTAGTATGTATACGTATTCAATTTCTGTCTTAAATTTTAATCTCGAATATCTTGCAAGGAGTGACTACAATAGTGGTAATCTTAGGTTTAGAGTTTTTGATATGTATTTCCCATGTTATTCTTCTGTCATAGGTCAGTCTGAACTTGAACTTTGCCTCTCTGAGAAATTTGGACGTTGTCAAAGTAATGGAAAGTTTCACTTCGAAAGGTAATAGTGATATGTAGTGATTTGTCTTGGTTGATAAGAATTTTTCAGAGTTTGCTCCAGTTGTAGAATTTGTTTAGGCAATATTGTAGAGTGTGTGAGGCGTATCTTAAATTTTGATATCTTGTAAAGATTAGTCATACTATCGACAGGATCTGGAATGTCGTATGTGTAAATGATATACAACAGAGGAGCGAGTACTGACCTCTCAGGAACAAATTTATTAAATAAATGTAAACTTTTACCACTTTTTATAAAATGATTTCATGGATGTATAAAGCATATGTTTATAACCTTAAATACATTTACTGTAGTTCAATAACTCGAGATCTAATATTGTATTTAAATAATTAGATGTAAAGGTCCGTTTATTCCGAAAAATCGTCTCGTAACCTTATAGAAAATTAAATTAGTTAATAATTTGATAAATTTCTCCTTTTAAAATCCAAACATTATCCACAATATACCTTGCCTAATCCCAAATAAGCTTCACAACAATTTGACTGCTATTAAAATAATTAATAACCTAAATTAAAATTTAATCTATAAAATAAAATGTCTATATTGACCTAATTCTTCTATAGGCATTACAACCCAAAACTTCAAAAATAGACTTTACCAACATAAAAATTCACGTACTGATTATATAGACAAGAATAAAATAGATAAAGAGCCTAAAACTGCTTTAGCCAAACACGCATCTGACTTAAAACATAAATTTGACTTTGAGAAACCGATGATCCTCCATCGAGATAATTTTGAACAAAAATTAAAATACTTGGAGACACTTTATGTATCTGAGAGCCTTGGTAGGGTTGTAAATTTTAAAACTGATTCAAAGAATTAAATTTTTTTTTTCTGAAGCTATATATGTCTTGAACAAACAATAAGAATAATAGACGTCTGATTAGGGTATTTCTCAATCTATCAGCTGATAAATAATACAATGAAAATTTTATTGATATAGAATTTTTAAAAATATTGTATTTTTGAAAAATATATATTATGAAATGTATTTAGGTATGTACGTGCGTGTGTGTATTTTTATTGTAAATAAAATAATGTTCGATAATTGATTTAAATAATTTATATTAAAATAATAATATGTTCTGGTTTTCAATTTTAGTCACGTAGTATTTAAATATTTTAATGTTGGCAACGCCTCTCCTCCTTGAAGGATTGTTCTCATTCAGTTTTCTTTGACTAAGTGTGCAAGTGGGTGCACTGCTATAAGCGAGTAAGTTTTTATATTTTGATGTGTATATATATATATATATATATATATATATATATATAAGTTAACTATTGGCTTCGATAAATAGAAAAATGAAGAAACAAATAATAGTTTTTATTTAACAACAAACAGTAGTATATAACTCAAAAAGGTTATAACAGTCTATATTTTCACATGTGTTTCTTAACATATTTTAACATATGTTTATTTTAAATTGCAAGAAATAATAATGTGTTGAAACAAATAATATTAAGTCTTAAAAGTCTTATCTATCTTACACCGAACCTTAACTCCCCCCCGCCAGTTTATGAATATTCTTCGTAAACTAATATCTGAATCTTACAGGTAGGTCAAGTCCGGAGTGAATCGTCATCAGGCTATACTTTTTCATCAATAAAATTTTACATTGGTATACAATGAGAACTTTGCACTGTGGTTACTTAATTCACTTGATACAAAAGAATGGTTAAGTAATAAAAACAATAAAAAAATCTGCAATAGTGCAAAAATATAACTACGAAAAAAAAAAAAATCTTCCTGTCCCACAATGAGGACATTCCATCTATTTATGGTTGCTTTGGCGCACCTTTTGGGAGCTTTAGTTGTTCGATGTGGACTGTTCTGCGCTTCTTAGGCTCTTTCAAGCTCTCTATAGACACAGTGTTATGTTCACGAATGGCGATCACCCTGAATGGGCCCTCGTACCTCACTAGCTCCTTGCCCCTATTGGACCCTCTCCTCCTGTACACTATCGTTCCAATTTTAATATCACCCAGTACGTCCTTCAGCCCTAAGTTATCTTTTCTTACCCTCCTACGTTTTTCGTTCTCAATTTTACTACGGACTTTCTCCCATCGTTTCACCAATGCTACTCTATTATTAACGACACGTTCCGATAATTCCTCGTCCACTGTCGTACTCGTGCTATCCCTGGGCCGTTCCCGCAGCCCAAATAGGATCTCGAAAGGCGAAAAACCTGTTGCGGTATGAATTGAATGATTATATGCCGTGATAGCCTTCGACATCGCCACACCGGGTTCTAGCCCTTTTTCTGCGTGATATATTCTAAGGTGGTCACTAAGCGTGCTATGTAGTCGTTCTATGCCTCCTCTACTCTTTGGATGTCCAGGGGTGTTAATGTGCCATGTAATATCCAAGATCTTCGCCTCTGCTCGCATAATGGCATTGTTAAATTCCTTTCCTCCATCTGATGCAATCCGGT